GAGCCGCCCTCAGCAGGGTCGTGCAGGTGGGAAATCTCTCCTTTTTCTCTCCTCAACCTGGAGTCAAGGGAGCCCGCGCTGAGAAAACGCGCACACGACGTCGAGAGCTCGTCTCGGCGTCTGTCAACCGTTGACACTCGACGTTCGAAGGCGACAATCGTACGCGTTCGCGCGTCATTGGACACGGCTTCCCCACGGCCGCTCCTCGTTCTTGTCGAAATCCTCTGGATTTCCCACGTCCTCCGTTTAACCTAGATTCCTGACCTCGTCCTGACGCGCAACGACGTCGTCGACGCTCCGCGATCGAACGAGGACGCGTCATCCTCCTATGACGCTGTATCAGCGTTGCAACAATGTCGCGGACTTTGTACTTGACCGTAAAATCGCATTTGTTTGTTGGCGACTATATTACAATGACGTTAGGGATACTGTATGTCGAGAGTGTTGCTATGTGTTAGAGATCGGCCAAGAAAAATTAAAGAGTGTCACGTTCGTTCTCATGCCTCTCAGATGACGGAGGAGACGCTGGGTACTTCGGAAAAGACCGAGTTAGACGCGCATTTGGAACACCTGGCGGAGAGAGGAAATGCCACCAAAACGTGGACGGAGAAGATACTGCGGAACATGGAAGCGGTGCTTACTCCGAATCCTGGTATATCCAATACTCTCGAATTAATTAGATTTTAACTCAATAAAGTATCAACTGACTTGATATTCTATCATTGGGTATTTAACAGTACACAAAATATTATCTGTATTTCATCATTAATTCTAAGATAACGTTTTGCAGGTAACAGGATTGAAGATTTCTTTTTTGAGAAGATTGATAAGAGGAGACCTAACAGGTTGAGCAATTTGGAGTATGTAGGCGGCGATATGATAGAAGCTGGGAATGATTTCGGCCCGGGGATAGCTTACGGTTAGTGTTAAAAGGATTGCGATATACATATATAACGCGAAAGAGAACTTGGTGTAGGAAGATTTCGATTTTAGGTAGCGCATTAATAAAAGTCGGCCAGTGCCAGCAGAGATTGGGGCAGATCGAAAGGGATTTCATAGGGACTGCCGCTAATTGTTACATACAGCCTCTGAGGAAGTTCTTGGACGGAGAAATGAAGACTGTCAGCAAAGAAATGGCGATATTGGAAAATAAAAGGTGACGAAAGCTCCACTCATCTCTGTCACGCACTAAAAAAAAAGTATCGTCACTAATGTTATACGGTTTTAACGTAGATTGGATCTGGACGCGTGTAAAAATAGAGTAAGGAAAGCGAGGAGCATGCTGGGCCAACAGAGTGTAAGTACCGTTAATTGGCGATTTCGTTTAAAAATGTGTTCTATACGTTTACGATGTGTTCTGTCCTCCATACTGCTGCGATTTATAGGAGTCTGGCATATCACCCGAAGTGTTGCTGGATCAGGTATTGACGCAATAGTTTCGCTCGCTCTCTTGATTCAGAAAGATCCAAGCCCAATACGATCACGATAAAAAGATTTTCATCATCCATATCTACTAAGTTTTATAGATATTCAAATAGCTCCTTATCACATACCCATTACATTGTTTGCATATTGCATAATCATAATATTCCTCGTTATTTATACAAATATAGATAAGTAAAAAATAGTAATAACATTGTGTTGAATATCGCGAAGCTACGAATTGTTTTTCTCACAATACGGATTCAACAGCGATAGCTGCGTCTCATGGCTACAGTCACTTTAGCTTCCTGACTTCATTTTAGATAGCAAATATACACCAAACTACAGAAAGCAATAAATAAAATGTATACATTGCTCACTCAGGCAGAGAGGGAGCTGAGGGTAGCGCAATCGGAGTTCGATCGACAAGCGGAGATCGTGAAACTGCTGCTGGAGGGTGTCTCGAGCTCGCAGGCCGGACACTTGCGATGCCTGCACGAATTCGTGGAGGCGCAAGCACGTCATTACGCGCAGTGCCATGCCGTCATGCAGGATCTGCAGCGCGAGCTTGCCGGGTAAGTTCGCTGCCCACACTTTTTATTTTTTTTTCGTTTCTTTTTTTTTATTATTCTATCTATTTTACTTTTCGTATTCGGCACACCATTGTCCTCGTACAGCATATTATTATCGCAACATTTCTGTACAGCTATCCCACTTTATGGTGATCCGAGTGAGTAATGTTTGACAAACCTTGAATAGTAATATGACTGTTTAGGTATTCGATTCGCGAGCTCCGCTTCTCCTTGTAGTAACCGCGGCGGGCATAGATTTGGACAAAAAGACCGGACTAAATTTTTCACGACACAAATGTCTCGCCGTACAGAAAATACAGCGTTTGTGGTTTGACGAACATTACCTGTTACGGCTGGTTTCAACGAATGCCCAGTTAACTTTGACCTTTAATCGACAGACACAGCCAGAATTAAAGTTTCAAGATAGCTTGGCCTCGGTGAAGCCGGCCAGTGATCAATTATACCAGATCTAATGCCGACATGATCGCCGATTGATCGCTTTCCACATCAGCACCCTGTCCCGAGCTTTGTAACATCTAATGAGTAGTGATAGAATGCAGATTGTGTATCTCGTTATCTTAATTACTCCCTGCTTCCTCGGCCTTCCGCGCTATCCGTTGACGCGCGTTCTCTCCCGCTACGCTCTCTATCTCTCGCTTGCATGATTGGTAAATTGCAGGGCACGTCAACCGAGCCCTATGCTGAGAGTCAACAGCGAGGAAGTGATCGAGCTAAATCCCTCGCCCACTCTCCCCCAAAACTCGTCCGTAACCGCCGAATCTGCCGATTACGTTACCGCCACATTCGACACTGATATGAGTAAAGTTTAGTTTTCAACCCCTCGAATATGAGCGTTGAGTACGGATTATTATGAATTTCGAATCCAGTTGGTAATTAACGAAAATCTACGTTAGCTATCACGCAATATTCCCTTTCTAGCGACGTCTGTTGAAGTTACTTCACGTACGCGTTAAAAATCTTGATCCCGAGCTTAATCGTTACAGACTTGTTATCGAATAAATACTCTATAACGTTATATAATTGTATATTTAGGCGAAATAGAACGGACGGAGCATCCTAAACTTCTTT